GCTCGCATGCCTCCAAGCCTCACCATGTCCTGGCCGAGCTCACCCTGCAGGGCCAGGGCACCGCAACTACCACCACCACAGCACTCTTGAGCATAACTTCTTCGGCTTCCAAACTCCGGATATTGGCTGCTGAGTCTTCCGGCAGTGGCCACTGTGGGAGTGTGCTCTATAGTTGTGTGCCAGCTGCCGGAACACTGGTTGGACAGAGAGTTCTTTAGAAGTTAGATATTTTTTTGTTTTCATAATTTTTGTCTTTTTCCTTCTATTAAAATTGTGTACAACATTCTTGTTTCTTTCAGAGTCTTAAGCCATCACCCCATCTATTCACCCAGCTGAGCAAAGTGATCAAATTAAGCAAAGTTCAAGAGGTGGGCTTACTGTTCTATTCTTATGCGCTCAGCAGTGTGTGTGTGTGTGTGTGTGTGTGTGTGTGTGAGTGAGAGGGGGGGGAGGGAGAGAGAGAGAGAGAGAATCCACATCATGATGGAATCCTAGAAACACCCCAGCTAGTATGCTTCTCTTAGCCTTTAGAAATAAGTAGGAGACAATCACCAGCACATCCTCCACTTTACCTTCTACTTCTTGACTGCCTGTAATATTTGTTGTTTCTGTACTTCAGAATGCTAGGAGCATCACCCGCATAATTTTGCTCCCCTGGATGAATGGAATCTATTGGGCACATTGGGGAGGGATTCAAAAGTGGGGCATAGAGCATCAGTATTCAGTCTTGGGGTTTCCCTTTCATCTATCTAGTTACCAATCCTGGTTTGTCATTAGAAGCATGGTGGGAAGGAAGCAGTGAAGTCTCCCGATCCACACTCTTGCTCACTGCAGGAATTCAAATTAAAGTGTCCCAAGCATAAGACATACAGTAATGGGAGTTCATTCCCTTTCTGGTTCCACGGTCAGATTGTTCTTATGATTCAGGATTTTTCCAAAACTTAATTGAAATATCTCTTTGCAACATTATACCCATTACTCTATGCATACTGATTTGATACAGAATTGGCCATGTTTCTTTTCTGTGTCATCTTTCAGGAATTTTAGTAGTGCTATCATATTCCCCCAGTTTTCTTAAGAATAAGCATCCCCAGGTTTGATAGTACTGAATTATAATACATTAACTTTTAACTTCTCTTTATTAATAGGTTATTTTTGGTCTTGCTTTGTTGAACTCTTTCAATCCTGATCTACAAGTTTTTGGTAAGATAAATGATAACTGTGTAGGAAACTTCTTCCTGAATTTTTTAACATAATGGTTTTGTTTGCACAACATACCAGTACTTAGCCATTAATGTAGTTCAGCATTTCTTTATTCGCATAATACAGAGAACATAGTAAACCACAAAAATAACTACATCTAATCCTAACGTTATGTATCTGTAGGAAGTCAAATCTGTAGCTCCAGATGCTGATTTGCATAAAAAAATATCTTCCCCAAGACATGCTGAGATACAAGATTAACTGGAAAGCACATACTAATTCACTATACCTATGCATGTCCTGTTTTACCTCTAGTAGGTGTTTCTATAATAATATAATAATGTCTGTACTGGTAGTCCTCAGCTAACAAGGGCAATTGGAACTGGACATAAAGCATGAGGTTATGTAATGATGCTTAGTAATGCTAATTGCCTGTTGCCATTGTTGAGCAAATCATTGTGGGTCATTGAGAGGAGACTTCACATGATTGCCATTTGTGATATCTATTGAGCATCACCATTGATTTTGCTTGTCAGAAGCCATGTGACCGGCATGGGACACTGCAATGGCCAGATCTCTGAGGAGCAGTGTGGTTGTTAACCAAGGACTCCTTTGTATCATTTACTATAGCCCCAAAGCCATTGCCTAGCATGCTAACAGTTTCTTTCCCCTTTTTAATAGGCTACCCCTTTGAATTTAATGTGTAAACAAAATTCCGAACTTCAGACAATGTTGTTTTCTCCTATGCGCTGCTTGGACAATCCAAGCATGGGTTTAACTTTGTCCATTTGCCTTGAGACTGAGTTAGGAAAAAGTCTTGGCCACGCCTCCTCTGGCTGGAAGAGTTCAATTTTTTAACTCAGTCCAGCCTTGGAGAGATGTAAATAATTTTTCTCTAGTTCAATCTAGGCAAAGATTATTTATAGCTAGAATTTCTAATTCATTTGGGGTTTTTTTATTTATATTTTGGTGTTTTTTGATTCGTTGTACTGTTTTTTATTAATTTCTGGCTTGCTTTGTTCCGGAATTGTTGTTTATGTATTGGCTGCGGGTGAGTGCGCTGGTTTCTCCTGGTCCGCTGACTAGAACTTCTTCTACTCAGGCGCCACTAGGCGGCAGGAATATTTGATTGCTGTTTCCCTTGCGCCACGGAGTTTTTTGGCAGCTGAAGATACTGCCTGATCACTAGCTAGCTTTCCTCAATCGTGGATTGGTTTTGGCGACATTGGGAGAGCCAGTATGCCGGTTTCATGCCGCCTCATTATTATCCATTACTTCAAGGGCTGCAGCGATTATTTTCGGAGCACGGGGAGCCAGTACGCCGTTCCCTCTCCATTTTGTTGCAGGTTCAAATTCCGCACCTTTTCTTAAGGGACAACTGCTTTTAGGGGGTTCCGTTACAGCTCCTGCCATTTTGATTTGTTGCGATTTGAAACAGCAATGGGGTTTTTTGGCGCCAGGAGGGTTGGTTCGCTGCTCTCATGCCATTGCACAGATCGGCTCTTTTCAGTGCAGTCATTGTTCCTGAGCTCTTCAGGGAAAGTTTTTCCCCATCTTTGCTCAACCAGAGTTTGTTTGGACTATTGAAGAGGTTTGGAGTAGGCAGCCCAGCCGCTACATTTGCTGCCACCACTTCCCTGGAAGGGTTATACAGAGAGCCGGGTTCCTGTTGTCCAGGCCTTTCCGTTTATTGCTAATCTTTCATTCTCATGTCTCTACATCCTATGGGTGGGCTAGTGACTCTTAGATCATTCCATTTCAGGTAGCAGCACCAGGGCAGAGGTTTCCCCAAGAACGTAGCCTACACCAGGGTCTTCTAGTGCCAGGATGGGTAGGCCTACCATCAGGGGCACTTCTACCAGGTCCCACGCAAGCGGGTCGGTGGCTCAGGCCACTTCTGCAGCTGCTGATAGGGATACTAAAAGGAGGCAGAAGGCATGGGAGAAGCAATTCTCCAAGGCCGCCAGAAGGGCAGCAGCTCTCCTCCGGCTTTGGCATTGGACACACACTCCTCCCACTCCGCCTGATTCGCCCCGTGCTCTGGACACTGCTCAGGGATGGTCACCTGATGTCACCATTTCCCAGGGGTTGTTAACAGAGGAGGTTGGATTGGGGCCCGCTTCCCCATCTTGTCTTTCAGGAATGGATCTGACTCCCGATCCTGCAGCCAGGCTCAGCACCAGTGGCTACCTTCTCCCCTACAGTGGCGGGGCTGCATCTGGGGGGGGGACAAACCCCGAGG